TGGCAAAAAATGGCCAGGGCTGCCTTTAAATATATTTTGTACATTTTTATAAAGTTTTCAATAATTATTGATATGGGTTCATCCCTAATCCAAGGTCACACCAAGATTCCTGACAGAAGGTTTGGTGTGGGAAGCAAGCTGACCAAGAGAGTCTCTGACTTTGGGAACCAGCTTGTCTGGGGCACAGATGAGGATCTCAGTCTTATCTTCATTCAGCTGAAGAAAGCTCCCACCATCCAGGTTTTGATAGAGTCTAAGCAGGTGTGTAACAGCTGCAGCTTAGACATCTCACAGGGCTTAAAGGAGATGTACAGTTGGATGTCATCTGCATAAAGATGGTAGGAGATTCCTTTGAAGGAGCTCAGGATGTGCTGAAGAGGAAGCAGACAGAGGAGGAAGAGCAGAGGCCCCAGCACAGAACCTTGTGGGACACCGCAGAGAGGGCGGAACAATAGGCTCCCAACCAATCAACAACACAGATCCTGGCCCACTCTGTCACCAAGCCCTCCCCTCTCAGACCTAAACAGACAGCGCCTGACTTAAACAAGAAGAGGCAGAGGACATTGGCCCAAAATAATAATTTGGTGATTACAAGTCCTGTGCTAAATTTGTTATGGGAGCTGAGGCCAGTTCCTCAGCTGAGAGAGCTGCAGCTGATCCAGGGCTGTGGCCGGCTGGCCGTCAGTCTGTGCCACAAACGCTCAGCCCTAGTGATGTGTCGGTCATGGACGAAACCGCTCTTTCTCCGCGCGTCTTTTTCCACGCCCACGTGTCTGGAGATTTCTGCGTTCCTGAGTGTGTGTGAATGTATGGAGAGCCAAAGGTAACCTACAGTTCCTTGTTGGAGAAGTTGAAGTGAGTAACACACACACACACACACACACACGGTGGCGTATGCGGGGAATGCCAGAAGCAATTATCACACCAACCAGAAGGGACGTGTAGTTGTTGGTAGGGCCTAATCTGTCCAAGAGGAGGAAATAAATTAACATCTACAGAAAAATGAGGAAATGTGTGAAAACAGGATGAAGTCACGTTTGTAAATATCACCGTATAATCATGAGTAATCTGCTGCAGCTCAACCTTGATTTGAGGAAAATCATGAATTGAACTGAAATCTTAATTTCTGCTAGAAAACTGGAACACAGTTCAGTCTTTCCTGAAATCCTTCAGCCCTCGTAAAATAAACACATTTAAATAAAACGTTTGTTCTTTATTGAATGTAGTTAATTCAGGATTAGCATAAAAAGGCCAGGGCCGCACTTAAATATATTATTAAACACTTAATTTTAGTAATATTCATCGATATCGTCCGGCCCTCGTCAGCAGACTTGTAGCGCGTTGAATCAGTGAGAGAGAGCGCTCTGATTGGCTGCTTGTGCTGGTTAAATAACTGAGTTATGTGTATTAAACCAGACCTGATCATAGCAAGTTCAGCATCACTACTAATCTAATCATCTAACCTGAGAATTCAGGTATAAACTTTAATGGTGGCGCTCCAGAGGGGGCGGGGCTTGGGGCGGGGCTTGGTGCGTATTGGGGAAGTTGTTGTTTATGTCTGATGATGAACCGCGAGCAGAAGCCTGAGCTCAGCACTCCCTCGTGGGTTGATCATTTGCATGTTTTTGTCTATTTTGCTTGAAGCTGCAGGGCCTGAAAACCTTGTGTTTTCCCTGGTCACCATGTCGTTTTGCTGCTAAAGTAAAAGCGTCCCCTGCTTTATTCTTTGTTTTGATGACATTTTGGGGTTTTCTTCACTTAAGCCTGTTAAATAAAGACATAAATGATGATTTTCCTTCATGCTTGTCCTGCAACAACCGATAATATGCTGATGATGTTTGCCTTTTATCAGCTCATCTCCCGTCTCTGCTTCGTGTCTCCTGTAGTTGAGATAAACATCCGGCTCCTCCCCCAGCAGACCGCCACGCTGCCGTGTCGAGCAGCCAAAGACAAGTCCGTCGTCGCTCTGGACTGGAGCCGGCCCGACATGTCGCCAGAGGTAGTGTTTCTGTTCAGAGACAACCACGTCTACCAAGAATTCCAGCATCCGTCTTTCAGGAACCGAGTGGATCTGCTGGACAGGGACATGAAGGACGGGGACGTGTCTCTGGTTCTGAGGAATGTGACAACTGCTGATAGCGGATCGTACGAGTGTCGAGTCTTACAGAAGAAACCTCTCCCTTTCCTCTGGAAGACTCGACGCTCGAAGAGGTCTGTTATGATTTCTGACCCGATCATCATCATCAAGCTGCAGATTGTCCATTCAGGTGAGTTCTTAGTGTAAGGAGATCAGGTGCAACGCTCACCTGGTGGCTCTGACTGACCGGGCTCTCCCCTGCAGGTCCGATAGACACCAACAAGGAGGACAAGGTCATTCACAACATGAAAAACTGGAATCGGGCATTTGAAGAGATGGACGTTCGAGAATATCTCACTCTAGTGAGCGTGCTGGCGGTGGTGGTCTTTCTTCTGATGGCCATGACTAGATGTGTTACCAGATATTGGTCCAAACATCCGTCCAGGTGATCAGTGTGGTCAAAACGGACCACGTTGGTTTATTTCTGTTCTGTTTATTTTTTTTAGCACCAGTTCACAATGAAACCCGTTTGGGTTTGGTACAGATTCAGTGATTTTACTTCATACACCGACAGACTTTTACTCTTTAAATCAACGTTCAGTGACAGAAAAGTTACACAATGTTTATGAAAGGTTGAACTTCAAATATGAACCAAAGGGCACAAAAACAAATTAAAACGGGCTCAAATGTTAAAGGTATATTCCACCGATTCCTGAAAACTCTGTTGACGTATTTCCCAGAGTTAGAAAAGTAGGAAAAAGAAACTATTTTTAGGCAGCCCAGTCGTTCTCCTGACCTGGCTGCACTCCTTTAGCTTTAGCTTAGCATAAAACACAGTAAGTGAATGGGACCAGCTAGCATTGTGAGTCCTTAAACTCTTTCAGTAGTGATCTCAGTCCTGCTTGGTGACCTAAACAATCAGACAAACTGCGGGTGAAAATAATTGGTAACATGAAGGAATCACAGGCGCCATTTTGGACCTTGGACTACTTTATGACGAAGCTCAGCACGTTGTTGGCAAACCGCCATAAAAACACACGTTCACACACATCAAAGGGTGGAATATCCCTTTAAATGTTCCAAGAGTTGAAGGACTCATGCTTCAGTACAATGTTGAAGTCATTCCAACCATAACACGAAATCTAAATATCCAAAAAGAGTAAAGTGGAGTTTAAACTAGAATCAGACTTTAGAACACAAATCTTAGCTCCGCCCACAGGTGATCATCTCCACCTTCTGGTTGGTCAGAACTCCTGATTGTCATAAACGTATTGATCAGGTTTTATTGCTCTCACAGTGACTGCAGTGCTCACTTAGCTGGTTTTAATAAAGCTGCTTCAATTCAATCTTTTAAAACAGTCAATAAAGTTTGATTCAAATGTTTGCTACGCTATTACTGTTAACCTCCGTTTGTGAATAAAGCAGCTAGCAGAGCTAACAGTAGCATGGAAGACATGATGACATCATCACCTTCATTTTAAACTATCCTTTGGCCTCCTTGAAGACTCCTGTGACCCCGAGTTAGTGTTGCTATAGCGACCATCCCACCAACAAGATGGTTTGATGTTCATCTTCTTCATGATATTCACCGTCATCCAACATGGTCACTGATGAAGGAAGTGTGTGTCAGTGCTCATTGGGCATGTGTCTGATGGTGTGGAAGATCCAGTCCATCTTGGTGCTCCATCCTCCATGATGAGCGTCGTTCATCTGCTTGGTGAAGTACTCCAGCGCCTCCTGCTGGCTCTTCTCTGATGGACACAAAACAGAGTCAGACAAGGACAGAGGGACAGCTGAGGGCCATTCTGGGCCTACAAGTTCAAACTTGGATCAGAACCAGGTGTGTAATAAATGAGCCCATGATGCACTGGGGCAGCCAGCATGGTTGTGTCAGTCAAACCTAGAACTTATCTAGAACCTTACCGTTCCTATGACGATAAAACGGAAGGATTGTTGTCCAGGAAGGTCCCGCTGACCTCTGGTTACCAGGGTGACCAGATGTCCCGCATCACTTTTCTCACATCCCGCTAACATAGATTCATGTCAGTTTGCCGCTGTAGCACGTAGCTCATAAACGCGTCGATCGTCAGGCATGTCAGACAGATTATTGCTAACCCGTACATAATTTATATGTCATCATTATCATTGTTGTTAGTAGTAGAAATAAATGTCATTAACATTTCCTGTAGCTACTGAACACGTTAATGAAGTACATGAAGTTCTACTGATCATATCGTATATGCTCTTCTGACTAAGGCCTAGTCCACACGTAGCCGGGTTTTTTAAAAATGAATATCCGCCCCTCCAAAAACTTGCATCCACACCACCTCATTTAAAAAATAAAACTCTGTCCACACGTACCTGGATAAATACGTTGTTAAGGACATGCCAGACCTGTAGGCGGCAGTACTTCCCCCGTTCTTAACCTCGTCCTTCGTCTGTGGTCTTCCGCAAGGAGCAGTAATTCCGCTTGTAAAAACAAACAAGCAAAAAGCGCTTGGACGATTGATAAAGCGAGCGCAGCTCTGAGGGCATCCATGCTGTCGGCTAGTGTAAACACAGGTCGCACGCGTGATGTCAGCATTTTTTTGTCGCGGAAAGTGACGTTGCGGACCTTAAAACTCCGGTTTTGTCTGTCCACACGCAGACACCCAAAACGGAGAAAACGCAGATCTTCACTTTGGCCGGAGTTTTTAAAAAGATCCGTTTTCATGTGAAAAAACTCCGTTTTCGTGTGGATGACAGGCCAAAACGTAGAAAAATATCTACGTTTTGGCAGATCCCCGGCTACGTGTGGACAGGGCCTAAGATGAGTCATATCAATACAAACCTAGAATGTTACTGAAATGCAGGTAAAAATGTTTGCATCAAACATCTATAAATATCAGATGGAAACGCCAATTTAATATATATTATGGAGCCTTTTATAACAAGAGTCTGACATTTCAGCCTCGTAATTTTGTTGTTTTATTTCATAATTTTAGCAGCAGACCTCGTTGCACTTGAAACATGTCAAAATGGAATACTCTATTAATTAGAATTCAATAGAACATTCAAATAGTTTTATGTTTATTTATTTAGCAGACACTTTTATCCAAAGCGACTTACAGTTTCTAACCTATAGGGCATGTTGTGATCTGTGGGGGGAACGGGAGTACCCGGAGGAAACCCACGCATGCACGGGGCGAATACGCAACTCCACGCAGAAAGGCCGCAGCCGAGTTTCGAACCTGCGACCTTCGTACTGCGAGGCAACAGTGCTAACCACTGCGCCACCATGCAGATAGTAAAATATCCAATAGCTGCAGTTATATTTTGAACCTTTAAGAGAGCAGACAACAAACATGAAGAAGAGGAAACAAAAACACAACCTGCACCAAACCAGGGTACGTCTTATAAACACAACACGGTGGTGTTTTACCAGCAAGTTCATTTAACGATCGCTCGCAAACGTGTTCCTTTTTTGTGATCGTAGAGCAAACTCACTTATTTTGCATGGTGAATAATAAAGTGAGCTCTCGTTCTGGCGTGTGAACGGGTTTATGAACGGTGTTCCACCACAGCTCCAGAACGTTAGCTAAAAAATCCTGTTAACCTTACAGTTTATAAAGTAGACCACGAAAATGTGAATCATACACAGTGGTGGTCGGCGTGGTGTCTACTCTTCTACATCTACGTCGTTGAGGACGGACCTCTGTAATGAACACATCTACACTCATTTGGATAAAAGAAAATGTTCTTTTCGAAATTACACTGACAGGAATGATGAAGACATTTCAGCCCCCCCAACCCCCCCCTCCACTACGTCCATGCCCATAAATATCTACTGAAAAAAAAAGTTCTGAATTAAGAAGAAAAACGTTGCAGCACAAGTATGGATACTTTTTCAGTGGGAAGCTGATTTTGGGGGAAATGAATCAGAAACAAACCTGAATAGATCTAAACGTGTTACTGGTACATTTACTGCCATTCTGATGTGGGAAACGAGAACTGAAAAGCTGCTTAAGCCTACGTGTTTTTATTGTGGGCCTATCTGTATTAATGAAAAAGTTGATTTAAAACCATTTTAGCTAAAAAGACTCGGAGCTGCTGTCGAAGGTCCACAGAGCCTGACTGAAGCTGTAGCTGGAGAGGAACCGAGGAATAGCTGTAAAGCTTTTGCTGTTTGCTGGTTCAAGCTGAATGTGAATAAAATCTATAGTACATGAAACATACCGTGTGCTATGTATATTTAACAGTCGTGTTAGAGCAAAGAGGGTTTCACTGTCGCACATTTGGTGAGTTGGGATCTGGTCATCCTAGGTTTACCTGCAGGTCACTGGAATCAAACCAGCAACCCTTCTGTTGGCAATCAGCCATGCTTCCCCTGAGCTACAGCAAACCCTTTATGTTCGGTCCCACCATGGACCCCCCATCTCATCTCTCCAGCTTACCTAAGGCGAGCGTCTTCCTCAGGTAGGCAATGTCATCAAAAGTCTGCAGCTCAGGCATCCCACAGCCCAGGAGGAGGGAGAAGAGGTTGATGAACAAGCTGGCGTGCTGTCGGATAGCCAGGTAAGCCTTGTAGCACATCTCCTGGAACCTGCACCACATACAGGTGAGCACAGGTAAGCAAAGATCTAAGAGGCAGCAGGAGCAGCTGCAGATGGGTGAGGAGCAGGTGAGACCTCTCAAACTCCTTCGTCTTGGTGGACTCCTGAACTCCTTTACTGATGACGATGAGGAAGTCCTGAGTCAGGACAAAGGGAACCCGCTCCCTTTTGTAGCCAAACTTCTTCTTCTTATGATCCAGGAAGTGACCAAAGTCAATGTGGAACAGCTGCAGCAAGAAGAAGAGTCAGGGGGCGGAGTAAGGGAGGGAAACAACCAGGAGGAGGAGGCTCACCTGGCCATTCTCTTTCACCATGATGTTGGAGTTGTGACGGTCTCCGATTCCCAGGATGAACGTGGCGACACAATAACCTGCACACGACCTGGTGAACAGGTCAATGGCTCTGTCATACCTGAAAGACAGGTGAGTCAGACAGGTGGGTTTACAGATGGATGAAGAGATGAAACAGGCAGTAAGACTGATGCCTATGAGAGAGAACAACAGGCATTCAGTCAGACAGGTGTGGCATCAGACAGGTGTAGCGTCAGACAGGTGTAGCGTCAGACAGGTGTAGCATCAGACAGGTGTAGCATCAGACAGGTGTAGCGTCAGACAGGTGTAGCGTCAGACAGGTGTAGCGTCAGACAGGTGTAGCGTCAGAGAGGTGTAGCGTCAGGCAGGTGTAGCATCAGACAAGTGTAGCGTCAGACAGGTGTAGCATCAGACAGGTGTAGCGTCAGACAGGTGTAGCATCAGACAGGTGTAGCGTCAGACAGGTGTAGCATCAGACAGGTGTAGCGTCAGACAGGTGTAGCATCAGACAGGTGTAGCGTCAGACAGGTGTAGCATCAGACAGGTGTAGCGTCAGAGAGGTGTAGCGTCAGACAGGTGTAGCGTCAGACAGGTGTAGCATCAGACAGGTGTAGCGTCAGACAGGTGTAGCGTCAGAGAGGTGTAGCGTCAGAGAGGTGTAGCGTCAGGCAGGTGTAGCATCAGACAGGTGTAGCGTCAGACAGGTGTAGCGTCAGACAGATGTAGCATCAGACAGGTGTAGTGTCAGACAGGTGTAGCATCAGACAGGTGTAGCGTCAGACAGGTGTAGCATCAGACAGGTATAGCGTCAGACAGGTGTAGCGTCAGACAGGTGTAGCATCAGACAGGTGTAGTGTCAGACAGGTGTAGCATCAGACAGGTGTAGCGTCAGACAGGTGTAGCATCAGACAGGTGTAGCATCAGACAGGTGTAGCGTCAGACAGGTGTAGCATCAGACAGGTGTAGCGTCAGACAGGTGTAGCATCAGACAGGTGTAGCGTCAGAGAGGTGTAGCGTCAGAGAGGTGTAGCGTCAGACAGGTGTAGCATCAGACAAGTGTAGCGTCAGACAGGTGTAGCGTCAGACAGGTATAGCGTCAGACAGGTGTAGCGTCAGACAGGTGTAGCGTCAGACAGGTGTAGCATCAGACAGGTGTAGCATCAGACAGGTGTAGCGTCAGACAGGTGTAGCGTCAGACAGGTGTAGCATCAGACAGGTGTAGCGTCAGACAGGTGTAGCATCAGACAGGTGTAGCGTCAGACAGGTGTAGCGTCAGACAGGTGTAGCGTCAGACAGATGTAGCGTCAGACAGGTGTAGCATCAGACAGGTGTAGCGTCAGACAGGTGTAGCATCAGACAGGTGTAGCATCAGACAGGTGTAGCGTCAGACAGGTGTAGCGTCAGACAGGTGTAGCATCAGACAGGTGTAGCGTCAGACAGGTGTAGCGTCAGACAGGTGTAGCGTCAGACAGGTGTAGCGTCAGACAGGTGTAGCGTCAGACAGGTGTAGCATCAGACAGGTGTAGCATCAGACAGGTGTAGCGTCAGACAGGTGTAGCATCAGACAGGTGTAGCGTCAGACAGGTGTAGCATCAGACAGGTGTAGCGTCAGACAGGTGTAGCATCAGACAGGTGTAGCGTCAGACAGGTGTAGCGTCAGACAGGTGTAGCGTCAGACAGGTGTAGCATCAGACAGGTGTAGCGTCAGACAGGTGTAGCATCAGACAGGTGTAGCGTCAGACAGGTGTAGCGTCAGACAGATGTAGCGTCAGACAGGTGTAGCATCAGACAGGTGTAGCGTCAGACAGGTGTAGTGTCAGACAGGTGTAGCGTCAGACAGGTGTAGCGTCAGACAGGTGTAGTGTCAGACAGGTGTAGTGTCAGACAGGTGTAGCGTCAGACAGAAGAGTACTAACCCCTCTCCGCGGTTCTTGTCTTTGATCCAGTGGTGAAGTGTGTTGGAGTTAAATTGCAGCGCCCCCTTCAGGCCTCCTTTACACTGGATCTGCATGATGGTGAAGCTGTTCTTGACCACCTCAATAAGACCCACACAGTCACCGATGGACAGGCATCCATACGGCAACATGCTACAACACACACACACACACACACAAGAAGTTAGGCAGGTGCGTGATGATGTCACCGTCTCTGATGTTGTCACCCACTCACCGCAGGTCCAGGCCCTGGTTCTGCCAGATGTTTTCCATGATCTTAATGATCTGCAGAGTCAGCATGTCCTGACGTAGGTCTGCATTACAAACACAACTACATTACCCACAATGCCCCGGTACAGTTGTTTTGCTAGCACATGTTGCATTGAAACTGGTGTGGTTGTTAGCACTGAGCTAGCTACCATCTCCGTTCTTGAAGATGATCTCGTTATTGGTGAAGAGCAGCTCAGACATGATGTCGGGGTTCTCCCAGTTCAGCCACAGGGGGCGCTTCGCCGAGGACATGATCCTGCACTCCTCCAGCCTACAAATGTCAGGTTAAAGGTGGGGTTAGCTGGGTGGGAGGTTTTGGATTAGCTGCTTGGTGACTTCCCGGGATGAGCTGGTAACCTGAGGTTTCCCAGTTGGTGAACTGGGTTCAGTGGAGAGACGAATCCCTGCAGAGACTCCATGTAGTCTGGACGAGACATGTGCTCAACCAGGAACTTCATCTGCACCTAATAGCCAATAACAGCAATCCACCATCAGCCAATCACAGAACAGAGAAAGACACAAGGGCAGGATTGTTTGGGGTGTCCTACCTTCTGGGTCTCATCTTTCTTCTCCTGCTTCAGCGTGTCAGTCAGGTTCACCAGTTTATCCATGGCCTCCACCTGGGCAGGTACACCAGTGTTAGTGTCCAGCTTCTCAGGAGACCAGTTCAATGTTGAGAAGGTCTGACCTCGTTACAGGTTTGACAACTTCCTCTGATGTTCACAGACACCAAAGTCACTACTGCTCTCCTGCTCCCCCAGGTGTCTGTCTGCTCACCTCTCTACCCAGGTGTCTGTCTGCCCAGGTGTCTGTCTGCTCACCTCTCTACCCAGGTGTCTGTCTACCCAGGTGTCTGTCTGCTCACCTCTCTACCCAGGTGTCTGTCTGCTCACCTGTCTGTTCAGATGTTTTAAGTACATCCCGCAGGCTCTGCAGAAAGCCTCCAGCAGCAAACCGAAGCGTCTAGAAACGGTCTTGTTGTGCATTTCTGATCTGAGAAAAACACTTCCTGTTAAATCAAACATGAGAACAGGTGTGTGGAACAGGCATTAACAGGTCATTTGAACTGACTTCAGGTGCCAGAAGAAGAAGTGTCCTATCCTCTGATTGGTCAGAGCTTTCTTGATGAGGAATCGAGCTAGAGGATTGTCCAGGTACATTTCATACTTTAACACCTGTGGACACACAGATCAGATCGTCACACACACAGTTAGCTACCAACACTGTTTAGGACAGGTGTGAACGCACCTGTACGAGCTGCAGCAGGTACTGGGACAGCTTGTCGTCGGTCAGTCCCTGCACCAGGCAGCGCAGAGCAAACTCTCGGACCATCGGATCAGGGAAATTACAATCCAGCAGCTCTAGAGCTGACTCCGACTCCATCAAAGGCCACTCCTTCAGCAAACAATACATCTGATGAAGACCAGGAGGACACAGGTGAGACACGAGACACGCTAAAGGCTTCAGAGATCCAACCTGATAGTGACGAGTTCTTTACCTGTGACACCTCATCCCTGGAGTTCCATTTGACTGACAGAAGAAGTTTAGGAAGAGACTCTGGAATGTTTATACAGTAATGTCTGCAGAGACGGACGGGTGGAGACGGACGGGTGGAGACAGGTAGAGAGAGACAAGTAGAGACAGGTAGGAAGACAGGTATAAATAGATGAGTGTAGACAGAGTCAAAGAGACAGAAGACGGGTGGAGACAGACGAACAGAGACAAAGATTAAAGCAAACAGAGATAAAAGTGAAAACAGGTGTTCCTTCTATCAGGTGAGTTCGATGATCAACCCAACATTCTGGGCTGAGGAGGACGTGTTCTGGACCATCCTCCTCAGCCCTGTTAGGCTATGGTGAAGAATTTAGAAGCCAAACATGACAAAGACAATCAGGTGCTGGTGGACACCTTTGCAGGAGGAAGAAGACACAATGAGACCTGAAAATTCCCACCAGCTGGTGTCCTAAAAGAGACAATGTCTTCGGGGGTTGGAACAGTTTCCTTTGATTTAGGAGGATTAGGTAGAAACCAGAGAAGAAGTCTGTTTAGACCCTTTACTTTGGCCCAACTCCAATACTCGCCCTGTGGTCTTCAGCGAAGTTAACTTGGAGAAAGTGCGCTGTACGGCTTCGGGTGCGTGGTACACAAGTGTGCGGGCGGGGGGTATTACGTCATTGACCTCAACGCATGCTGGAATGGTGGTCATTGTGATACTTTTAAAAAAACCTTTATTAACAACTTTCAAACAAACAATCAAACAATTATTTGAAATAAATTTGCATTCAATGCTGCTGTCTAAAACATTCAGAGCATCAACTAATCGTCTTAAAATGAACTACTTTCATCAGAAAATACACATTTTTGGAAAAGGCTCTTGAGCCTATTCTCCCGCAGCAATGGATTGTGGGTAATACCCTGAAGGGTGCAGATCAAGCGTGCAAAACGGGCGGTATCAACTTGCGCACTCGAGAATCGAGACACCCTACGCACTCGCACCCCTGGTCTGGATCGTTTAATTGAAGGGCACAAGGGTGGAAGTGTGAGTATTGGGATTGGGCCTGTGTCTCAGTGTTAGGCTCCACCCCCACCTGTGTCTAGGGTGACCAGATCCCAATCTGCCACATGTGGGACAACGTGAAGTTCCAATGAGAAAAAAGCAAACAAAATGTATATTCTGCCTTTTAGCACTAACATCACTGTTACATATATATAATTATATTCTTATTATCATCATTTATTTCTTGTATATATTTTATTTGACTTCAACATGAACTAGCACATAACAAAAGCTTTACTATTTCACAGTTCCTCTCAAGTTACCACAACATAACTCAGGCTCTGTGGGCCTTCTGTAGTGGCTCTGATGATTTTAATTATATAGATAGGCCCACAACAATAAAAACATGCAGGTTTAAGCAGCTTTTCAGGGGTTTCGTTCAATGTTTTCCACAACAGAATGACAGTTAAAGTACCAGTAATTTTTTTTTAGATTTATTTATGTTTGTTTTTAGACCTCTTATGATGAATTATATAAATGGAAACCGCATTCCCTCACACAGACGTGGGTCACTGGGGCCCCCCTCTGGAGCCAGGCCTGGAGGTGGGGCACGCTGGCGAGCGCCTGGTGGCCGGGCTTTCACCCATGGAGCCCGACCGGGCACAGCCCGAAGAGGAAACGTGGGTCCCCCTTCCCATGGGCTCACCACTCGTGGGAGGGGCCAAAGGGGCCGGGTGCAGTGTGTGACGGGTGGTAAATGGTAAATGGCCTGTATTTGATATAGCGCCTTCTAGAGTTGTGGAACCCCCCAAGGCGCTTTACAACACAATCAGTCATTCACACACAAATTCATACACTGGTGGGGATGAGCTACAATTTAGCCACAGCTGTCCTGGGGCACACTGACAGAGGCGAGGCTGCCGAGCACTGGCGCCACCGGTCCCTCCGACCACCAGCAGCAGGCAACGTGGGTTAAGTGTCTTGCCCAAGGACACAGCGACGGACTGAGCGGGGCTCGAACCTGCAACCTTCCGATTACGGGGCGAGCACTTAACTCCTGTGCCACCGTCGCCCACAAGGTAGTCGAGAGCGGGGACCTTGGCGGTCTGATCCTCGGCTACAGAAGCTGGCTCTCAGCACATGGAATGTCACCTCTCTGGTGGGGAAGGAGCCTGAGTTGGTGTGTGAGGTTCCGACTAGATATAGTCGAACTCACCTCAACGCATGTCTCTGGCTCTGGAACCAGTTTTCTTGAGAGGGGTTGGACTTTCTACCACTCTGGAGTTGCTCCCACTGAGAGGCGCCGAGCAGGGGTGGGCATACTAGTTGCCCCCCATCTTGGTTTCTGTACGTTCACCCCAGTGAAGGAGAGGGTAGTCTCCCTCCGCCTACGTGTGGGGGGACGGGTTCTGACTGTGGTCTGTACTTATGCATCAAACTACAGTTCAGACTACTTACCCTTTTTGGAGATCTTGGAGAGGGTGCTGGAAAGCGCTCCTTCCGGTGACTCCCTGTTCTGCTGGGGGACTTTAACGCTTACGTGGGCAACAACAGTGAGACCTGGAGAGGTGTGGTTGGGAGGAACGACCCCCTGATCTGAATTCGAGTGGTGTTTTGTTGTTGGACTTCTGTGCCAGTCATGGATTGTCCATAATGAACACCATGTTCAGACATAAAGGTGTCCATATGTGCTCTTGGCACCAGGATACCTTGGGCCGCAGCTCGATGATCAACTTTGTTGTCTTTTCATCTGACCTGCGGCCGCATGTCTTGGACACTCGGGTCAAGAGGGGGGCGGAGCTGTCAACTGACCACTACCTGGTGGTGAGTTGGCTCAGATGGTGGGGGAGGATGCCAGTCAGACCAGGCAGGCCCAAACATATTGCGAGGGTCTGCTGGGAATGTCTGGCAGAGTCTTCTGTCAGAAGGAGCTTCAATTCCCACCTCCGACAGAACTTCCAAAATGTTCCAAGGGAGGCGGGGGAAATTGAGTCTGAATGGACCCTGTTCTGTGCCTCCATTGTTGAGGCGGCCAACCGGAGCTGTGGTCGCAGGATCGTCTGTGCCTGTCGTGGTGGAAACCCCCGAACCCGCTGGTGGACACCGGCAGTTAAGGATGCTGTCAAGCTGAAGAAAGAGTCCCATCAGGTCTTTTTGGCCTGTGGGACTCCAGAGGCAGCTTACAGGCACTGACGGTCCAAGCGGAATGCAGCTAAGGTGGTCACCGAGGCAAAAACCCGGCGTGGGAGGAGTTTGGTGAGACCTTGGAGCAAGACCTCTGTACGGCTTTGAGGAGACTCTGGTCCACCATCAGGCGCCTCGGGGGGGGGGGGGGGGGGAGCAGGTCACTACCAACACTATCTATAGTGGGGATCGTGTGCTTCTGACCTCTACTCAGGAAGTTGTGGATCAGTGGGCAGAACACTTCGAAGACCTCCTCAATCCCACCGACACGTCTTCCAGTGAGGAAGCAGACTCTGGGGATGTTGCGTTGGCCTCTCAAATCTCTGGTGCTGAGGTCACTGAGGTGGTTAGAAAGCTCCTCTGTGGCAAGGCTCCAGGGGTGGGCGAGATCCGCCCAGAGTTCCTTAAGGCTCTGGATGTGGTGGGGCTGTGTTGGCTGGCGCGGCTCTGCAATATTGCGTGGACATTGGGGCAGTCCCACTGGACTGGCAGACCGGGGTGGTGGTCCCCTTATTTAAAAAGGGGGACTGCAGGGTGTGTTCCAACTACAGGGGGATCACACTCCTGAGCCTTCCTGGTAAGGTCTATTCAGGGGTTCTGGAGAGGAGGGTCCGTCGGATTGTTGAACCTCAGATTCAGGAGGAGCAATGTGGTTTTCATCCTGGCCGTGGAACACTGGACCAGCTCTATACCCTTAGGGGATCCTGGAGGGTGCGTGGGAATTTGTCCAACCAATCTACATGTGTTTGTGTATTTGGAGAAGGTGTTTGACCGCGTCCCTCGGGGGGCCCTGTGGGGGGTACTCCGGGAGTATGAGGTACCAGGCCCTCTGATATGGGCTGTTATGTATGACCGGTGTCAGAGCTTGGTCCGTATTGCCAGCAGTAAGTCGGGCTCGTTCCCAGTGAGAGTTGGACTCCGCCAAGGCTGCCCTTTGTCACCGATTCTGTTCATAACCTTTATGGACAGGATTTCTAGGAGCAGCCAAGGTGTGCAGGGCATCAGTTTTGGTGACCTGAGGATCAGGTCTCTGCTTTTTGCAGATGATGTGGTCCTGTTGGCTTCATCAGAACGTGATCTTCAGCTTTCGCTGGAGCGGTTCGCAGCCGAGTGTGAAGCAGCTGGGATGAGAATCAGCTCCTCTAAATCTGAGACCATGGTCTTGATTCGGAAAAGGGTAGAAGACCTTCTCCAGGTCAGGGATGAGGTCCTGCCCCAAGTGGAGGAGTTTAAGTATCTCGGGGTCTTGTTCACAAGTGAGGGAAAACTGGAGCGTGAGATCGATAAGCAGATTGGTGCTGCATCTGCAGTGATGCGGGCGTTGTACCGGTCTGTCGTGGTAAAGAGAGAGCTGAGCCAGAAGGTGAAGCTCTCGATTTACCGGTCGATCTACGTTCCTACCCTCACCTATGGTCATGAGCTTTGGGTAGTGACCGAAAGAACGAGATTGTGGATACAAGCGGCTGAAATGAGTTTTCTCTGAAGAGTGGCTGGGCTCTCCCTCAGAGATAGGGTGAGAAGCTCGGTCATCCATGAGGGGCTCGGAGTAGACCCGCTGCTCCTCCACATTGAGAGGAGCCAGTTGAGGTGGCTCGGGCATCTGGTCCGGAAGCCTCCTGGACGCCTCCCTGGTGAGGTTGTCCGGGCACGTCCAACCGGGAGGAGACCTAAAGGTAGACCCAGGACACGGTGGAGGGACTATGTCTTTCACCTGGCCAGGGAACGCCTTGGGATTCCCCCGGAGGAGCTGGCCCAAGTGGCTGGGGAGAGGGAAGTCTGGGCCTCTCACCTTAGGCTACTGCCCCCACGACCCGACTCTGGATAAGCGGATGAAAATGGATGGATGAATGGATGGATGTTTGTTTTTAATTCATTTTCCACTAAAATCAGCATCTCATTCAAAAATATCCATACTTATTTTTTATATTTTTTTGTAATTGAGAAACGAAACTTTTTTTTTAAAACATGACAACAAATCTCTTCTAGATTTTAGGTGAGAGAATAAACATCAGATTCTAATCTCTAAAAATTCAGATCTAATCTAATAACAGAGATTCTTAGAGTTACGTTTTGGCCCAAAATTCTGAGAATAAGTGATGAAAGCTTCCATTCATTCTCTTTATGTCTTCACTGTGCTTCAAGGCTCAGCATGAACGCAGGTATCTGAAACCGCAGCACCGTGTCTGTGTTAGAGCCTCCATGGTGTTTATCATGGACCCGTCTAATTACTGGAAAACCTGCTTTTGACCTCTTCATATCAGACTCTGCGCCTAGACTCTGTCGAGTATCTCTGAACACGTTTAGTTCACGGGTTTACAGCATTTGCTCCTCCGTGCTCGCTCACGCTTGTTTTGGTGGTTCGAGCGCGCTCCACACACGCTCCGGATCTGCGTTTAAGTCCCGCCTCCGTTTGATTGACAGCAACAGACAGATTCCTCCACAGTTTCTTCTACAGGATTGAAACTCGAAATGGGAAACTGTCAATAATGCGTGACATGAGTCTTTATTTGCGGGACACGTGAAAAGTAATGAAAATGCGGGAGTGTCCCGCACAAAGCGGGACATCTGGTCACCCCACCTGTGTCTCCAGAGGAAGTCCTTCTCCTGCTCTGACAGCTCGTACAGAGGATCTTTGGAGCAAAGAGAACGAAGCTGTTCTGCATCGGATGCTGAAACGGTGCTGTCACAGGCCAGACGACTGCTCTGAGACCCAGACAGGAGGACAGAGACAGGGGGACACAGAGACAAGAAGACATATTTTCAAATCTCATCCAGATTCACCAATGTCCTGTAGAAATTCGATTTGACATTATGATGTCTTATGCTACACCTGTCTGTATGCTACTTGTGCCGATCCTTTTCTACTCTAGTCCACAAACCCATAACCAAAGCAGTGGTCCACATCTTCATGGTCCAAAAGAAACGGAACTCCCTGTTGTATTTTGTTATGTCTTCTGATTTTTGGACCCTTTTCTGCTCTAAGCCTTCATCAGTATCAATCCCAGCGATCTGTCCAAGGACTCTTCAGCAGGAGACTGCAGTTCTACCACCAAGACCCCACCCTGGCTGCTTGGTTCCTTGCCTTTGCACCATTCTGGTTCTGGTTCTGGACAGGTAGATGTAACGTACCAGTGGTCAAGTTTTCACCAACAGTTTGACCAAAAGTAGGCTTTCACTTACAGACACAAACACACCATCTGCCTGGCCTCCAGGAAAGAAAAACAACAAGCCAAAGAAGCCATAACGTCTTTGCTCAAGGCGCCATGCCAGACTCCTGCATCCTCGCTCAGAATGAAGGGCGCCCACCTCCAGTTCTTAAATGACTTTACAGCTTAAAGGTTGAAATAGTCAAATGAGTTGAATGAACAAGATGTTTAAATCAAATGTTTGAATAATCTGTGATGATAATTATTAATGTTTAACATACGCTTCACATAAGTGTTTTAAAACATTCTCATTCACACCAAGAGTTCACCATCTTTGTATCTGAAGGAAGGCGTGGCTTCTGAGGTATTTTTTGGTAAAGCCCTCAAATGTGTCAAATTCGCCAAATTTGTAAACAATGGGTTTTAGTAAAACAGGAATTACTTCCCGATTAAATCAGTTTCCAGCTGACTCTCGAACCGGCCAATTTCAGAAAAAGCATTTTGAAACCATCTTTTCCTTTGACGTCCAGTCAAAGCCTCTCTGCAACGCTGTGGGTCATCAGACAACCGGCTCTTCTAAGAGCCAAACAAACAGCCTTAGACGCAAACAAGCATTCCAGCTTCCCGTCGTCACCTGGAGAAAACTCAGACTAGACGGGTCCTATCGGAGCTAATCTACGAGTTCCTGGTACCTAGAGGTACATCCTGACCTCTTGACCCTGGATCTGAACGGGGATCTCTACAAAAAGGGTATCGTAGACTCAACCAATTGCATCGAATGTTATTATAAACAAATCTCTAGTTTACCAGACAGCCAAATTCTTTTACAGCCCAGACTCTACAAACTCTCAGATACTTAAAGAGCAAGTCACCCCCTACCAGAGTATTACTCCACTCCCACTTCGTGTTTGAGAAATGCAACAAATGCTGTTGCTTGGCACACCGAGAGGGCGGAGCCGCTAACAAATACACACACACACACACATACACACACACACACAGGCTTACAATGACATTGTGACGTCATAACATCCTAGGGTACCTCTTAGCCAATAGCGATGGCAGATTTAAATTAAACTGCAGTGCAGAGTTTTTACCTGACAACGGCACAACACTGACAGTTTTAGGCAGAAAATATAAATTTTAACTTAAATGCACTAAAGTGCAAAACTATTGACTACACGTGTCTGCAGCACGATTAGACACGCATTTATATAGTTTATCGGGGAAAAAAGGTTGATTTGGGGGTGACTTGCTCTTTAACTCATTCACTGCCAGCCGTTTCCTGATCGGTAAAGCCCTTCGCTGCCAGCGTTTCTCACCGTCTTTACTGTTTTTTTAAGAGTCCTAGAACGTTGCGTGCTAGGAAGATGCCTACGCCAAAACAACCAAAACGAAGAGGAGACTCACCTCTTACATCGGGAAGAATCCACGCGTTTCGAGCGTTATCCGTTCTTTCATAGTCCGTTGTTGAATTGTGATCGGCAGAAGCTTTTCCGGTTCGCCCCTCACTTTTTTTACAGCAGCGGCCCAAAACGATCTCCTAACTCATGGATGTTCTGCTTCCTGATCACTTGATGTGTGACGTATGCGGATGAAGATCGGCTTCAGAGGTGAGACGTTTGTTCTCACGGTGCGGGGGCTCGTCCGACGCCCACACAGTAAAAAAATGCTAATAACGACTTTAGTCGTCTTTGGCAGTGAATGAGTTAAAGCTGCTTTCCGGAGTTTTCCCCTTTCAGAAATGATGCATGATATGTCAGAAATCCGTAAAAGTGATTATCTCATCATGTACTGCGATAAAATGGAAGCAGTACGTCTTTTTTTTTTTGCTAAGCACGCCCCCTGCCCCACAGAGCTCTGTGCAATAGGAAACTGAGCGCCGACCAGAGCTAACCAATAGCGTTAGACTAGCGCTTACTTGCTTCAAATTTAAGGAATACCTCGGCTGATGCAGAGTTGGTAAACTTTTCACAGACAAGTAAGTCTCTAAAATATGAATATATGAGAACACAGCATGACAAGAGAATAATACACGTAAAACAACGTGTTCATGTTTTAGCTGTTCTTCGGCTACAGAAGCACATTTATAAACAGAAACGTGAAGTCGCCATCTTAAAAAGACAGAGGAATAGACTTTTTGTGTGATACGCTTGTCAGCCACTAGATGTGCCATCGGATAAGGGAAATAATCCAGAAAGAAGCTTTAAGAAAGGATTTGCTAAAACATCTAGCTTCCATTCCAGCGTTCCACACATCACATTCAATCACTTCATATCCATTACATTACACCATCATTCATACTTGTCTTGTATAATCATTAGTTTAGGGAAATAGAAATAATTCATTTTTATAAACTATAAACTTGAGTCTGTCTGAATTAATACGAAGTGTGTTTACGATCCCTGAATAAGTAAATTAAACAGAATCTTCTGATGAAACATTCAAAGATCAGTCAGGTCGATATTTCATATTTATATGGAATATCACATCTTATTGGTCGGTTGTTACATAGGTAGCCACTCCTCAACACTACACAGCTATCATTTCAGATTTGATCCTGACTCCAGTCTGACCAATCAGGTTGGTAAAGAGCATCAAACGGACCAAAGTAAGCATCAAGACAGAACCACCTGTGGTTCCATCAGAAGGTTCTCCTATTGGTCCACCTTTAGAAAGAGGAGGACCTACCAGTCCGTGGCAGTAGCTGTAGCCCAGCTCTCTGCTGATGGTCCAGTTGGCGTGCTCTTCTATCTGCTGCTCATCAGGAAACACGACCATTTGGTTGAACCAGGAGAACTCCAGCTCCACACAAGGAGTCTCCTAACGAGCAGAGGACAACGGAACGAGTATCGATCAGTTACCATCGGTCGTGATTGACCACCAGCTGCAGACGGTCTGAAGTACCTTGTTGGGATTTGAACCAGCAACTCCGATGGGGTTCAACAGGTCTTCCAGCCCATGGGGGACGGGCCAGAGACTCAGAGCTACCTTCCCACAGACCAGTATGTCCTTGTAGTCAAACAGGTTAACGTTCCCCCAGGCTAAAGGACAGTGCTCCTGGGGACACAGGACAGGGTGGGGAGGACAGGAGGACAAGTGGGTGGACAGGTACAGTCATCCTCCTCCACAAGAAGATCAATGGTTCCTTCCTGTCCTACCTCCTTGGCTCCTTTTCTTCCTTTCACAGAGCAGATGGACAAGCAGAGTCTGGCTGAGCGGGGAAGGTCCGCCAGGTAGAGGTCATAGGTCAGCCACTCGTTCCACCTGAGCACAGGTGTGTAGAGACGGTCAGGTGACCCAGGTGTGTGTGTGTGTGTGTGTGTGTGTGTGTGTGTGTGTGTGTGTGTGTGTGTGTGTGTTACCTGGGGTGGGAGCAGGGAACTCTCTGGGTGTTCACATTGTCACACATCGGTTCTCCCCCATGGTAGATACCAGTCCTCACATAGATCTACACACACACACACACACACACACACACACACACACACACACACACACACACACACACACACACACACACACACACACACACACACTTTTATTGCTGTTGTTGCATTCTCATAACGTCCACAGAGACACGCCAGACCACACAACCTCCCATGTGAACACTACCTGAGCTGTGATCACATCTGATGAGAACATGAGAGGACAGAGGACAGCAAGACAACCTAAGGAGACAGAGTGAAGACACATGGTGGAGGACAGATTTATATCTGAGACTGAGGACAGAAGGACAGGGATTAGGTATTGGATAGAGACCTTGTCCATGTCCCCAACGATAGACTGAGGGTATTGACTGAAACACAAGACTATGTGTTGGACCAGGACAAGAGACAAAGTTGGACACACACACACAGAGCACGATGTTGGACAGGGACAAGAGACACAGATGAAGACAGACACTGAGCACGATGTTGGACAGGGACAAGAGACACAGATGAAGACAGACACTGAGCACGATGTTGGACAGGGACAAGAGACACAGATGAAGACAGACACTGAGCACGATGTTGGACAGGTACAAGAGACACAGATGAAGACAGAACACGATGTTGGACAGGGACAAGAGACACAGATGAAGACAGAACACGATGTTGGACAGGGACAAGAGACACAGTTGAAGACAGAACACGATGTTGGACAGGGACAAGAGACACAGATGAAGACAGAACACGATGTTGGACAGGGACAAGAGACACAGATGAAGACAGACACAGAACACGATGTTGGACAGGGACAAGAGACACAGATGAAGACAGACACTGAGCACGATGTTGGACAGGGACAAGAGACACAGATGAAGACAGACACTGAGCACGATGTTGGACAGGGACAAGAGACACAGATGAAGACAGACACAGAACACGATGTTGGACAGGGACAAGAGACACAGATGAAGACAGACACTGAGCACGATGTTGGACAGGGACAAGAGACACAGATGAAGACAGACACTGAGCACGATGTTGGACAGGGACAAGAGACACAGATGAAGACAGACACTGAGCACGATGTTGGACAGGGACAAGAGACACAGATGAAGACAGACACTGAGCACGATGTTGGACAGGGACAAGAGACACAGATGAAGACAGACACAGAACACGATGTTGGACAGGGACAAGAGACACAGATGAAGACAGACACTGAGCACGATGTTGGACAGGGACAAGAGACACAGATGAAGACAGGCACTGAGCACGATGTTGGACAGGGACAAGAGACACAGATGAAGACAGAACACGATGTTGGACAGGGACAAGAGACACAGATGAAGACAGAACACGATGTTGGACAGGGACAAGAGACACAGATGAAGACAGAACACAATGTTGGACAGGGACAAGAGTAGGGATGGGTACCTTTGACATTTGAATCGATCCGGTACTAATTCCCGGTCCCTTCGAATCGATACCGGTACTTAACGGTACCAATTTTCGATACTTTTGAGTGTTTATTATTTTAATTCTCTTTTATAATTAAATATATATTTTTCTCAATATATAGCAATATTTGATAAATATCACGATAAATAACATACAACTGTTTGTATTTTAACATCGTCCTTGTAGTTTTATAAGCTGATAATTAAACTGAAGCAAACATCTTTACTGTGAACTAAATTTACTGTGTATCTTCATTCCTTTTGCCGTCTTTTTTTCATTTGATTTTTCCTACTGGGAAGTTAGAATTTCCGAGGAGAAAGCAAACACACCATTAGCTGATAACAATGGTGGCAATGGAGCTAACATATCAAGCTAATGATATCTTAAACAGTTTATTTAGCTGCTGGAGCAGATTAAAATGATGATGCCTCACACTTAGATCGTTGTTGCTGGTTTCATCTTCACCCAATCACCCGTCGCATTTAGTAAAGTGAAGCCAAACTTTAGAGCGCGTTCATGTTCTTCTAGTCGGAAATTCGGAGTTCCGAGGAGAAAGCGAACGCACCATTAGCGAAACGGAAGCTAACATATCAAGCTAACGTTATCTTAAACATTTTATTTAGCTGCTGGAGCAGATTAAAACGATGATGCCTCACACTTAGATCGTTGTTGCTGGTTTCATCTTCACCCAATCACCCGTCGCATTTAGTAAAGTGAAGCCAAACTTTAGGGCGCGTTCATGTTCTTCTAGTCGGAAATTTGGAGTTCCGAGGAGAAAGCGAACGCACCATTAGCGAAACGGAAGCTAACATATCAAGCTAACGTTATCTTAAACATTTTATTTACCTACCGGAGCAGATTAAGATGAGGATGTCTCACTTAGATCGTTGTCGCTGGTTTCATCATCACCCAGTTACCCATCACATTTAGTGAAGTGGACCCAAGCTTCAGCGTGCGTTCTCTGCTCTGTTTACAACTCGCTCTCAGCGACCGACGACATAACGATCTTGCGCATGCGCAGCTGTCTAGGCAAGTTATCGTTATGAAGGACGGGTACCAAAACGAGGCACCGTTGGAAATGACGTGAATCGGTGCTCGGTCGGTACTATTGAATTCGGTCGGTACCTTAAAAAGTACCGAATTCTGTACCGATCCCATGTTGGACAGGGACAAGAGACACAGATGAAGACAGACAGAGCATGATGTAGGACAGGGACAATGAATGATGTATAGAAACTGAAGCGGAGGACTGGAACCGAGGACAGAGACACAGACAGAGGACAGGTTTCTTGTTGTCATATTTACTCATATAGACATCAGTGGAAGGGACTTGAGACAAACCCAGAGAGAAGGACGTTGGACAGAAGACAGAGGACAGGTACCTTGTCAATGTCCCGGATGTTGACGTTGATGTAGGTGGCACAGAGCAGCCGCACCCTCAGCAGAGTGTTGAAGGCCCACAGGGAGCGAGGAGGAGAGCCATCACCTCCTCCTGGACAAGGAGACGGCTGGGGCGTCCTTCGGCTGAAGCACAAAGACCTCAGATTACCTGGACACCCAGAGGACATCTGTACCTGCTCCTGATTGGCCATGAAAGAGTGTACCTGTAGGACGGTGTGATGTAGCCGGAGGCAGGAAGCTGAGAGTAGAGACTATCTTTGGACACAAGCATCAGGTGAGGGAGACGTCCCACAACAATGCATGAACGGATGTACTGCAGAGAGACGGGGACGGGTAGGGACAGATGAAGACGTGAAGTGACTTAGACAAAGAAAAGAGAGACAGGATGACGGTGATTACCTTGTACTGACTGAGAGGAAACTTCTCCAGCAGGTACTCGTCACAGCCACACACCTGAGGGACACACACAGGTGAGACAGGCAGGTGATCGGGTCAAGGGCAGAAGGACAAACAAGTGGTGGACAGGTGGAGGGACAGACAGGTGTACCTTGAGGATGTACTGGCCCTGGTACTCCTGCACACACAGGCGGAGCTGCTGAGGGGACAGGTGCATCGATCGGGTCTTCTTCCTGATGGACTCGGCGATCAGCTGCTCAGGTAAACTGTCATGACTCACCTGGATACAAAGGACATAAGTGATGGTGGAGGTGGAGACAGACCTGGTTCTGGTCCGATCTCTGGCTGGTTTTAGAGGTCAGGGGCCCGTCCAACACCTGTCCAGCTTTACCTTCAAGGTGTACTTCTGCTTAGAGTTCGACGGAGAAACGATCACCCAGATGGTCACAATCAGCCGGCCTGGGGACACACGGGGACACGGTGAGACGGGGACACCAAGCGTGGACAGAGACAGCGGTGGGATTTGGTAACTGACAGGTGAGACAGACAGGTGAACCCAGCAGGGGAACCGGGTCCGTACCTTTGTCCAGCTTGCTGTAGATGTGTTGGGGTAGGTGGGGACTGGACTCCACGTTGGGGGGGTAAACATAAAGTGCCTGGCTGTGGGCTCCGCCCCCTTCTCGCTCCTCCATAGCCTCTCTGCACACGCTCAGTATGGAGCGGCGGAAGTCCTGGACCTCCGAGTCCTTCATCATCTCAAACTCACACACTGGCATCCCAATAGCAAACCCTGTGGGGGGTGCAGTGTAAGTCTGGGGGGTGATGATGTCAGAGGAAAGAGGGCGGGGCCTACCAATCTCTCGGTTCAGGATCTTCTCCTCACGGTTTCCCAGTGGCTCGATGACCTTCAGGATGGGGTGAAACAGACGAAGGTCACACAGACGCCGCGTCTCGTCGTAAAACTCCTCCCTCTCTGCCTCCTGGGTCACGCCCACAAAGATGTAGCATGACTCCTCCTGGCCAATCAGAGAGCAGAGATTAGCCCTGGAGTCTCACAGCTGGAGGGGGCGGGGCCATAGGTGAGAGCGCTGTACCTGCAGCAGGTGGTAGAGCGGGAACTTCCTGGCTTCAACAAATAGCTGCTGCTTGATGCTGATGAGGGGAGTTTCTCTGAGACAGTCCAGACTCACCATCATACCTGGTGCGCAGGTACAGGAAGTAATTAGAGTAGGATTACTATAGAGTAGAACAGAATAGAAGAGAAGAGGCTCACCGTTGGGGAGGCAGCAGTCCACCAGGATCCGAGGGGGCATCAGGTGAAGCCCCCATAGTTCCCCTGAGGATGGCCTGGGTACCATGGCAACCACCAATCACGAGCTGCCTCTCAGCACAGGGCTACCTGCAGGGCGGAGCATACAGCTGAGGTGGCTCCGCCTCTATCCTGGACAAACAGACTGGTCGCTGATCCTGTTTATTGATCAGGATGACATGTTTATAACTGTAAGGAGAGGTGGAAGCGATCATCTAAACATCTGAACACGAACGGTTGGTTGACCCGCTGGTCTTCATCAGATCCCATGACCTTCTATGAAGTCCGGTTAGCCACCTTCACAACCAGGTAGGACAGATAAGAACCACACATCCGAGTGCGTGAGCCACGTGTGTGAGCTGACTGGTGACCAGCATGAGGGGGAGGAGCTAGAAGGTGTGGCTGCGTATGGGTCTTCACGCCACTGAGGCCCCTGACAGAGGAGAAACGGCCATGTCCGCTTCAATCATCTCATCCACCAACAACCGCAGCAGACGGCTGCTGCAGGGGATTGTGGGACATTTCTGCTGTGGTCCTTCAGGTTTTCCAACAACATCAGACCAGGAAGCATCGTTCCAACAAAGACTTACTCAGAATGTTCTTCTGTGCTGGTTTTAGATCCTGTATGGATCTCCTGGAAGAGATGAAATCTGAACAAACGAAAACGAGGCTTTACACCTCCAGGATCAGGGCTGAATGGCCCAAACCCATCAGAACTTAGACAACGGTAACCGTGGTAACAGCAGTAAATGAAGGGTTGGACAGATGTCCTCTTGTCTCTGTGGGATGTCCATGATGGACAGCAGCCTTGTGTTGGATCCTCGGACACTGATGCTGCTCCTCCAGCAGACCACAGCTCAGTGACCAGAACCAGAACCGGACCCGATCTCAGACCCGGCTTCACTAAAGGATCTGAGTTTTAGTAATCAGACAGGATCCACGCTGGTCTGCTGGTCCAGTCCTAGATCAGCATCTTTGGCTTTTGTTGTTGTTTACTTGTTTATTCTTCATGTTTGTGTCCGTTCTGGTTTCCTGTCTCAGCTGTCCTCAACGTCCAAAAGACTCCTAAAAACTTCTCATTGTGTGTTTTTATGACAAAGCTGTCAAACAAAGGAAGTAGGACACACACACACACACACACACTGAAGGAAACAAAAGCCCCCCCCCCCCGCCCCCCCCCCCCGTGCGTGCTTCCTTCCTCCCCTCTCTTCCTGTTGACCTGCTGATTTAAAGGGACAGTCCAATGTGATCTGACCATGAAACCGTGTTTACAGTAACACAAACATGACGTCACTAGTTACACAAACAAAACGAACTCAGATTAAGTCAGATTTTGTGAATCAGAATAATCTGAAGACTCAAACTCATAAAGAGTCTGCTTCCAGCAGCAGCAGCCTATAGGAACCCAACACTCAGAGATGAGCTGATGACGTCATGATGGAAAGATTTAAATAAAGTTTCAGTTTCAAACTTTCATGGTAACAAATAAATAAATACGTTAAAAAAACGGAGGTCGATTTTTAAAGATTGAATATCTAAATGACGTCAAGCACACGTCACGTGATCCCGTCAGCCTGATGAATTGTCAATGCCTGAGTGATTGACAGGTCCGTGATGACGTGTGTGTGTGTGTGTGTGTGTGTGTGTGTGTGTGTGTGTTAAGGTAAATATGGAAAGCTGAATATCTGAGAGAGTAAATCCAAACGCCTCTCTTCATGAGCTCAGACTCTGATATGGTTACCATGACAACAGCAGCCCGAGCATCACCGAGGATCAGACGGACGAGCGGTCTTTGTTCTGTCAGCGCGCGGGCGGGCGCATCTGTGTGCTTTACCTGAGCGTGTGTCCGTCAGTCCCGCGGCGCGTGCCTTCACTCATGGCGACACTGCGTGACCGTCCGCCTGTCCATGTGTCTGTCCTCTGTCCTTATGTCCTCCTGCGGGATCAAACGGATCCATCAGCGGCTCCGCACAAAGAGAGGCGCTGGCTGCCGGGAGACACGGAGACCTGTCAGTCTGACCTGCTGCCTGTCTGACCTGCTGCCTGTCTGACCTGCTGCCTGTCTGTCTGACCTGCTGCCTGTCTGTCTGACCTGCTGCCTGTCTGTCTTTCAGCAGCAGGCGGACTCTGTCCTAGCAGCTGCGGGAGGAAGCGGCTTCTCGCCGGCTGCTACAGAACATCGTGTCTGCTGAGGAGGGGGCGCTGACGGGGGGGGGGGGGGGGGGGGGGGGCATCCTGTCAGCTTCCTGTCTTAAAGGGCCAGCAGCCTCTAGCAGAGGGGAGGAGCCAGAGCAATCGCCCTGACTGGTGTGTTTCCGTCCTCTGCTTCCGTTGTCATGGTTACGGTTCTGGTTCCATTAGGAGAGTTCTTCGGCAGACAGAAACCCAGTCAGAGTGAGAGCTCTGTTTTTTATAAACCACCTGCGCGAGAGGAGCCACAGGCCAAAGGTCAGCTCTTACAACACTCAAGTTCAACTTTATTAAGAGAATTAAAGTCAAAACAAAACATCCGTGGGTTCTGGAGAGCCCCGGGACAGCCGGTGTCGGCCGTGCAGCCCGCTACTAGGATTATAACATCAATAACAATAGTCCAGTCCAGGCTGTCTCTGTACCCGCTCTGTAGTCTTTTAGCTATATTAGCGCCAGTGTGCTCCAGCTGCCCAAAAGTTTCATTTGACTAAACTTTCAGGAATCACCAGTGCTGGTATTGGTCTACAGAACCAGCCCAGCTGTGACTTTAGGAGCAGACCAAAGAGGCTTCCCTAAGGAGGGCAACAGATGGCCTGACCCATGGAGACGACCCAGAACTGAAATTTTGTCCCAGTCTGCTCCTGCTTGAACTGAACTCCATTCACATCGTCACTGATTTAAGAAGGATAAAGGCCATCCAGCATCAATCCTGTTGTCAAGGTTACATCCTCGGTTAGCCAATCAGAGAGTAGCGGTATCTGATCTCTCTCTCTCACACACTCGCACATCCAGTTAATCTTAATCTGTTTTGCAAATTCTCTTTGTGCTCCTGTATTCTGGGGCGGAGCCAGTTGGATTAAAGATCACAGCTTTCCTTTTCCATCCTGCCGCCGTGACTCCCAGCATGCACGTGGTGTGGTGATGTCACAGCTGTCATGTCAGCAGTTGTAAGATCAGGTCTGCTCATTTTTGCATCAGCAGTTTGAATCGTTTCTATTTGAAATCGGAAAATTCAAAGATGAACTTTAACACTAGTTTACGTAAATATTGATTTCCTGTTCCACCGACAGACCTGAATAATCAAACCCGACTCAGATAAACGCCTCGGTCCACACGCACAGGAAACACTGAGACCAGTCAGACTTCAGTCATTTATTACACCCAAAACTACATCACAGAATTCAGTCCTGTTGTCACGGTGACGAGGGCTGCTGCGTTACCATGACAACGCTGAAAACAGTTAGGTTGTTTCATCAGGGTAAGTTTGTTTAGACGTTAGGAGTCTTGGTGTTTGTGTTAGGGCTGGGCGACGCGACGATGTTAGTCACACCATCCGTGTTACACTTCTGTCATGTTCGCTGGTAGCTTTAGTGACATGTGAGGATATCAGAAGCTAATTTTTTATTTTAAAGATTTATATTCAAAGTCTGAACGTGTCACCAAACGCTATGCGACTAAAATAATAACAGAGGTCTGTCTTAAAGTACAATATTCAAACTTTAGAGAACGGAACAAACATGGAGCCATTTTCTGTTGACGTCAAATGATTAAAACAGGAGTAGAAATCTAAAGTTTCAACATGTCTGCTTGTTTAAAACGGTTTCTTTAAGAAGAAGCAATAAAAATGAACAAGAATAAACAAAAACAATGTTTTATATCGGTGGAATCAGATTGTTTTTATGAGGCACGACGCTGGAATAATACTTTATTTTCTATTTTTACCCTACCAGAGGCTATGCTACACCAACGTTAGCCGCTAGCTCATCTGGCTACGCAGTAGCTCTGCTCCAGCCTCTGATTGGTCCAGCCCAGACTAACGCTGGCTGTTCATCTGTTCTCTTTCGACCCGCTTGAGTAAAAGTTATTGTGAAATATATGTTATTGTTTCATCGCCCAGCCGTAGTTAATGCAGTCGTGCTAATATTGTTGTGTAGCTGTCTAGCTGTGGGTCAGCGCTCTCAGGATGTGGTTCTCTCTCTCCAGCTGCTGGTTCTTCTCCTGCTGCTCTCTGATTTGTTCCCTCAGAAGCTCCACCTCCTCACGCACCGCCAGCATCAGGTGACTCTTTACCAGGTCCTGGAGACAGGTGGGGACAGATGGAGACAGGTGGGGACAGATGGAGACAGGTGGGGACAGATGGAGACAGGTGGGGAAAGATGGAGACAGGTGGGGAAAGATGGAGACAGGTGGGGACAGATGGAGACAGGTGGGGAAAGATGGAGACAGGTGGGGACAGATGGAGACAGGTGGGGAAAGATGGAGACAGGTGGGGAAAGATGGAGACAGGTGGGGACAGATAGAGACAGGCGGGGACAGATGGAGACAGGCGGGGACAGATGGAGACAGGCGGGGACAGATGGAGACAGGTGGGGACAGATGGAGACAGGTGGGGAAAGAAGGAGACAGATGGGGACAGATGGAGACAAGTGGGGAAAGTAGGAGACAGGTGGGGACAGATGGAGACAGGTGGGGACAGAGACACTTGGTGATTATCAAAGAGCAGATGCTTTCTCTGAGTCAGCCAGCAGAGGGAGCAGTTCTCTCATATTTAACTCTAGTTGACAGGCATTTGTACAGCACCTTATTAAACCAACCAAAGTGCTTTACAGCATTAAAGACAAAACACACAACCATAAACATCATAGAAACACATAAAAACGAGTTCAACGTCAAAAAGATTTAAAACAGAACAGAGAAGATGCCAACCTTGTTCTGTTTCCATGGCTTTTGAGTTCCCGTCCAACACAGAGGTAGTTGTTTACCTTATTTTGATAAACAGTTCAGAATATTCTGGTCGCCTTCGTCAGAGCTTTGGTGTCACGCCCAGTCCTTTATGGAGTTTACACACTGGATCATGCATGGGGCGCCCTCTACTGCCCGTAGATAAACGACAACGGAAGTGACACCACCAGGCTGTGATGAGGCGACAGGAAGTACCTGAAACTGTTTGTCAAATAAGGTCAAACTCCGCTACTCTGTGGTAGGGTTAGGGTTCAATAAGATGCTAACCTAATGTGCAGAGGCAGCTATTAACTCATTCACAAGTCGTCATTAGCATTTTTTTACTGTTCGAGCACCGGAACGAGCCCCCGCGCTGAGAGAACAAACATCTCAGCCCTGAAGCCGATCTTCATCCGCGTACTTCACACGTCACATGATCAGGAAGCAGACCATCCATGTGTTAGGAGATCGTTTTGGGCCGTTCCTGTAAAAAAAGTGAGGCGCCAACCGGAAAAGTGTCTGCCGATCACAATTCGACAACGGATTATGAAAGAACGGATAACGCTCGAAACACGCGGCTTCTTCCTGATGTAAGAGGTGAGTCTCCGCGTTGTTTTGGTTGTTTTGGCGTCGACATCATGCTAGCGCGCAACGTTCTGTGACTCTAAACACAAAAACAGTAAAAACGGTGAGAAACGCTGGCAGCAAATGAGTTAACAGTCTCTGTTTGTAAACTAATGAATATCATGATCAGTACAGGTAAGAAGTCGGGTAACACACACGACTCACCATGGCCTGCTCAATTTTATTGTCGATGGCCGGGAGACTTGAACTGGAAGCACTGCAGAAGGACAGGTGAGACAGGCAGGTGAGACAGACAGGTGAGACAGGCAGGTGAGACAGTCAGGTGACAGAGACATCATATTTTCCACGTACAGGATCAATAACTGTTCTCTGACCCCCAATGTGATCTGCTCACCTACAGGTAAGTGAGACGTTACCTGTGCTACCTGGTTTCCATGGTTACCTGTGGCAGAATAGCAGCAGTGACATCATTGTAGAATCAGAGTTCAGCCCTACAGGCAGGGCTCTTGTAGGAGCTGACCAACGAGGAGGGGCAGCAGGTAGAAGACTATTCTGGCTGCAGGTGATGTCTGGACGCAGTTGGGTGGACCGCTGGAGCTGGGCTTCTGGGATTGGCCGAGCAATCAGGGGAGGAGTCAGCGATACCTGGGTAGTCGGGACAGCGCCCGGCCAGGACTCCCTGATAACAGAACCCTGACCTTTGACCTTTTTAAGCTTTCGCAGCACAACAGGTGACCCTGGTTGCTTAGCAACAAGCTGCAGAGACCTGAGATGGAGGGGCGGGGTAGAAGGGGGGCGGCGCTGAGGACGAGTACTGGACTCAGAGACAGGAATGGACGATTCCTTTTTCTTCAAGCTAGCAAACATTCTCAGCCAATCACAGCTCTGAGACTTACAAGATTGTCCAATCGGATTAGTCCTGTCCTTTCAGAGCTGACCAGGATCTTCACCGCCCATCTCTGATGTCTTCATTGTCCTCTGTCCAGGATGGACAGCTCCCTCTTGTCCTGCAGCTTGCCTGACACTTTAGTTCAGGTCCAGTTGGACATCTCAGAACGTCCAAGTGTTGTCTTCAGCCTCAGACACACTGGAGACCTTTTGTCCCACACAATCACTCTGCCCTCTGATTGGCTGCTGCCTCATTCCAGCTCCTACCCACTCAGTGTGTGTCAGCCAATAGGAGCCCTGCAGAGGCATTCTGGTCCCGCCCACACACACAAACACAGAGCTCCATTCAGCCAGTTTAATCTGAGCTCACATCTGTTTTACCTTCATCTGTGATGAAACAGATTTCACCTGAACACCTGGAGAGGTCGGCAGCCAATCAGAGAGGAGGAGGCAGAATAAACACGAGGGCCTCTTGTATCAACCAGCAGGCAGACTTGGTGTGGAGATCCAAACCGTTCTGTTACGTAGCTCAGACCTCCTGCTCTCCTCCTCCTCAGACTCTCTGTCACCAGCAGCTTTCCCCTTTCTCCACTCCTCCGGTGTGTTTTCTCTCCATCTTCGTGAAAACAACGGTGCACCGAGCTACTGGGAGCGGGTGTCTCGAGACATAACCGTCCCCGTGTCACCGAAGGACATTCAGATGAGCTGCGTGCGTCAATGGGACGATAGATTAGACTTCCGCTCACTTTATTTGCCAAATGCTCGCCCTGTAATCGGAAGGTTGCAGGTTTGAGTCCCACTCACTCTGTCACTGTCGTTGTGTCCTTGGGCAAGACACTCCCCCCCCCGCCCCCTGCCTGCTGGTGGTGGTCAGAGGGACCGGTGGCTGCCTGAGATCAGCAGCCTCATCTCTGTCAGAGCGCCCCAGGGCAGCTGTGGCTACATCGTAGCTCATCATCACCAGCATGTGAATGTGTGTGTGAATGGGTGAATGACTGACTGTGTTGTAAAGCACCTTGGGGGGCTCCAGGACTCTAGAAGGTGCTATATCAAATAAACGCCATTTACCCAATGAAGGAAGGGTGGAAGTGCAGAGACTGCAGGTTGGCGCCTGCACCGTCTGGCAGAGGCCTGAATCTGCAGCAGCAGCAGCAGCAGCAGGGTAAACTGGTGTCCAGCTCTGCAGCTGCTTTCTCGTCTGCCTGGCCCAGAAAGGTTTGTGTCCTCGTGCACATGCTCAGGCATGCTCCCGGTAGAACGGTTCAGAGCGCTAACGGTTTCTTTGCTGCTAATCTGCAGGGAATATCTACGAGAAAGTTCTACAGAAAGTAGCAAAGGGTCCTGAGAAATGTTGCTAGCTTTGCCGCTAGGCGCTAGGAGTTAGCAACAGTGCCTCTCGCTCTGCCGCTAAGCTACAGATAGCAAACGCTACGGGCTATGCCTGAGCGTGCATGACATAATCACGTATTACGCCGCCTCTACGAGGCACTGGGGAAGCAGGCTTGTTGGACCTGAACGTGCTCTTCTTCTGTGGTTTTACACGAACACAGAGGCGATCACAGTGAAATTGCCAGGGATCGACCTGCAGGACCAGGGCGTTGCAGGAGAACGTATGAGGAAGACGTTTTAAATGTTTTGGTTGTTAAACGTCCTTAAAGTCCCTTTAAAGCAATAATTAATAATCATGTAAAATTTGCATATTTGATATAATTCAGATCACAGTCCAGCCCACACCCAGGGCCGTGTCAAGGCCTTTCAGGGGCCAAGGCAGGAATAAAGACAGGAACCTCTCCTCTGTCCCGACCGTTTATAACCTCTGCAACCTGTTTGGTTCTTTTGCACTTCAGCAGCCAGAGTCTCCGTCTCGCAACAAACTATTTGTTTTGTTTTCTAGGTAGAATGCAAAGATCCCCTCATGCTGAGGACGTAGCGTGACCAAATATGGTTACTTGGGGGCGTTTCCGTATGTAAATGAGCGAGAACGGACACGAGCACCTGGGTACGCACAGGTGGGGTTTATCGTCAGACGAGTGCAGAGGAACGTGTGTTCATCACCGTTCGTACGAAAATTCAGAATTTCGTTCACAGGAAGGAATTTCTCTACAAACGTTTGATGACTGAGGCCCTGGTGAGGACAACAGCCAATCAGAGAGGAGGAGGCAGGTTCAGGAGCAGCAGCAGGAAACTGTTCTCATGGTGGCATTTTTAACACGGTGCTGCGTAGTGTTTGATGCGTCATCGTCACAAAGCGAGTAAGGTCGTCCCAATCTTAGCTTCTGGTCGTGGAGCTGTCTCTCCACCTGTACTCAGTGGTTCTGACTCACAAACAAACAGGTAAACAAACAAACATCAGTAAGCAGAGGGTCACCTGGCATCCCCCGGCAGGCTAAAGATGCTCCGGTCCAAACCAAACACTGCTGGGCTCTGGATGGAGGTCAGGGAGGGGCTGTGGGAGGGGGGAGAGCTGGGTAAGGACTGGGACGTCCTGAGGACCGACTGGGACAGAGACAGAGGACCAAGTACAGGTTTCAGGTTTGAAGTGTCACTTGATTCCAATTTGAAGTGTGTGTGTGTGTGTGTGTGTGTGTGTGTGTGTGTGTGTGTGTGTGTGTGTGTGTGTGTGTGTGTGTGTGTGCATACCCGTCTCGTGGCGTCAACGTTCAGCTGCCGTAATGGTCGAGGAAAACTTTGTGGGCGGGGTGAAGTGGCTGTAGGGGTGGAGCTTAGATTCTGAGCTGTGATTGGCTCCAGGTGCACTGGTGTTGGGGGCGTGTCTTTTAGAATAGGCCCCACCTCTCTCTCTCCCTTGTCCAGGTTCTGGGTGCTGATTGGCTCATGCTGCATTGGAGATGGTGGCCAACTTTGAAGAACAAGCCCCGCCTCTTGTCCACTCTGGTCCTGGAGCTGGAGGCTGATTGGTTCCTGCTGCATACCGCCCGTTACAGGTTGGGAAAACAGGTGGGCCGTGTCCTGGGAGTGGACTCCTCCCCTTTCTGTATCCTGATCAATGATCTCCAAGGATTCCAGTGAGTGGGCGTGTCTCATGCTGTCCATCACTCTCCTGCAGCCCACCCCCACCTGCCGCTCCATGAACTCCACACACGTCCATCTTCCCCGTCGATACAGTTCATCCCGCCCACAGCTGCTGGCTCCGCCCCTCGCTAGCCTCACCACCCTGAACCTAGAGGAGCAGCCTGCTCTCGGCCCCTGGGCATCATGGGTAATCTGTTTCCTCTTAAGCGATGGTGAGGTGGGCTGGGAGGAGCTTCCATGAGGCCGAGTGAAGAAGGCCTCTGATTGGACGGTTCTGACAACGCTGTGGGACAGCCGTCCGTTCAGATTGGTGAGATGGAGCAGGTCAGAGGTGACGCTGGTGATCTGGAAGCCACTCCTCTTTTTAGCTCCGCTCATCGTCTCAGGGTCTGCGGGGTCAGAGACAGGGGCACGTCACAGGCCGGCGAGGACACTGCTGCCTCACCTGTGGCCAGGTGAGACTGACATTTATAGCTTACCTGTTTGTCCACAAACACAAGGATGACGTGTGTCCCTGTGAGACAGGTGAACGGGTCCACAGAGGACGCCACACGTCCCCTCCGTTCCCGGTCTCTTAGCAGCACCGAGGTGCTTCAGCGGGAACGTGAATCAGACACACACACCGATGTGGTTCTGGTCCGGTTCTGCAGGGTTTATGTCTTTGACAGCCAGACTCTACAAGCTGCTGCAAGTTTCACACAGGTGTGTCTGACTGGGACACAGGTGCTGAGCTCTGATTGGACGGTTTTACACTGTGGGAAACAGGACCAGGAAATGGACCAGGGCCAGGATTAGAAGCAGAACCAGGTCAAGGACCAGGACCAGGATTAAAACCAGAACTAGGAAGAGGATCGGGATTAGAACCAGGACCAGAAAATGGACCAGGATTAGAACCAGAACCAGGAAGAGGATCAGGACCAGGACCAGAACCAGTGTCTGTGCTGGACCAAGAACCGGTCTGTGGTCCGGTTCACAGCTGGTACCAACACACATCTGGCTGATCAGCCAACAGGCGGTTAGGTGGAACCAGAACCATCTGCCTCTCAGGCCCGGTTCTACTCAGTACCAGCTGCTGCTAACTGACCCCCCCACAAACAGCTCTACAGTACAACTTTGTTGACAAACAAACTCGATCTCTGACGTCACCGCGGTAAACACTCACCATAACACGCAGGGTCGAGGCGCGCTCCCGCTGGTCCAGATCACCACCGAGCCCGCGGGCACAATCGGTTCATTCTGTAGGGGGCTGAGAACAGAAGGGCACTACGCATGCGCGTAACAGTCAGCGAGAAGTTTCCGCGGGAGCGCGCAGAGTTGACCAAGTTTGTAGAAAGTTTGATTTCCTGCTCTCCTCCTTGGTCACTCCTTCATCCTCCTCTTCCTCTACATCATCGGGAGCGCGCACGTCTTCATGCAGGAACTCATCCGTCCGACACTCGGGTCCGGGTCTGGTCCGGACCGGTTCAGCCAGAACTCAGCTCTGTGCGCGGGTCCGGGGGGAAATAAGCCTACGAGTGCGTGGGCACGTGCGAGGACAGGGAGGCGCATGCGCACAGCGAGGGGAGGAGAAGACTACGTGTTTGTTTACAGCAAATAAATATTAGAACACTCTTTTTATTCCACTCTGCTGGATTCTAGACATGAGCAACAGAAACCAGATAAATACGAGCTGATGATGAACTCCCGTCATTAGAAATCATCTTTATCCTTCTCGGAGAGTCCGACTGGAACATGTCCTCATTCACCCCGTGTTCAGGTCAGAAGTGATGCTCTGTGGTGACGTCACAAACAGCATCCAGTCCCTCTTCAGAAAGAGTGGCCGGGTCACTTCCTGCTGTCAGAAAAAAGAGACTTAAGATGAATATGGAATCAAGAAGAGATGAGTGACAGGACTGACTGGCAGCTCGGCCGCGGATGACCTGTTTTCTTCTGTCGATACACCGACGCCATGAGCAGAGTGGAGACGATGTAAGGACTGATCACAATCAGGTGGTAGGCTAAGTGAAGTCCAAGCTGTAGGTTGGTTAGGTGAAGGGGAGGAGCTTCGGAGGTGGGAGGGGCTTCAGAGGTGGGTGGGGCTTCAGAGGTGGGAGGAGCTTCAGAGGTGGGCGGGGCTTCTGTAGTAGGGTGTCCTGCAGAGAGATGTATTTGGTTTAGAAACCAGCTGCCTGCCATGACTCTGGTGAAGCTTGGACGTGAAGGTCCTGGTTCGGAGTGAGCTGTGTGCGTGAGTTCAGCAGGAACCCGCTAAGGTTTACACGGTTTTAACTTTAACGGACCGGTTTTGTTGCAACGACAGAAAAACGATCTGGAATCTGGAATTTTTACACCAACTTTTCTGTTTCAGCTGATAAAAAAGTTTTTATCAAGCCAAAGATGAAACAACAGGAAGCAACGTTTAGAACTTTTAGCTCCATTTAAAACTATTTTCCGTCACGCAGGTCGACTTTTATCAGACAAAAGGTCAAAGAGATCAAACAAACAAACAAACAAACTCTTCTATGTTTGATGTGAATAAACTACAGTTGGACTTTCGTTTACCCAGCATTCATCACTTCAGCAGCATTAAACAACGTTACCGTGACCTCTGACCTGTGACAGAGAGCCAGCTGGATGGAGACCCTCCATGACCCCTGATCTCACACCTGTAGAGGCCTTCATCAGACCTGCTGACTCGCTGGAGGGTCATGTGACCAGTAGGCTGGCTCCCTATGATGACATCATCTCTATAGAAGTCAGCTGTGAGGCTGGAGGGAGGGGTCTTTGACTGACAGCTGAGAGTGACATCATGTCCCTCCATCAAAGGGAGGACAGGACTCTGCAGGACCACTGGTCCCCCTGAACACAGAGACACACTCCAGCCTTTCATCATGTCCACACAGCTTCATCAGCACCACCTCCAGTCTGATCTCACCTGTGACAGTCAGGTTGATGCTGCTGCTGGATGCCCCGCCCACTCCCTCGCACCAGTACACGCCACTGTCCCGCTTCAGAGCCATGCTGTTGACACAAACAGAATCCTTCCATCTCCCCCATCCGTCTCCACACTGGGACACGTGTCCTGTTGTGGTGCGCCTCCTCAGAGTCCATCGTGCAGACTTGTCCTCATCCTCACAGGTCAGGGACACGCGCTCTTCCTCTAACAGCTGAGATCTTCTGGGATTCACAGTCAGATGAACTGGTAACCATGGAAACATGCAAGAACCTGTTAGTGTGTTTGTACTCAAAAGTTAGTTTCTCTACAGAAGCAGATTTGGGTTTGATCACCAGGAGGCGGAGCCAGGCTGTGACGTGCACATGAAGGAGGAGGGGCCAGGCTGCTTATGGGTTCTCCACATGCTCCTGGAGCTCCAAACAGTGACAGTATTGTTGTTGGTAAGTTTTAAAGAGACTCCCAGCAGGAGAATACGGGGTGTTGTACCTCCATCATTAGCTGCTGCTCAGTTCAGCCATGTTTGATCCTCGCCTGCTCCACCAGGAAGTGAAGGTGACTCTTCAGACTTCATGACATCAGACTCATGTTTAAGAGTCAACATCACAAAAACCATCAAACACGAATTTCATTACTTTTCTGTTTAAAAGTCATATTTTTAATTCATCTGCAGAGGGCTCCAGTAGGAACGAGCGCCTTGTAAGTCGTACTCTGGGGAAAAAAAGCTCTGGTGCGCCTGTCTGAGGACGTAGAAGTCAGCTGCATGAGCGGTTTGAGGACAATCAGGCAATTATCTGGTGACGTCTTACGTGCGGCGTGCCGACGTCTGACTTGTAGTCACGCTAACTACAAACCTTTACTAGCTGATAAATCTTAAAGTACGTGACTGGCGTGGTCGAAACGCCCATCATTACTTTTCATTTAAATTGAAGTGCAATTTATGTGTGAGCCGTGTCGGTACAAGATCTGCTCGGGTGCAAGATCGGCTCGGGGTCCTTCGACTGCCGATGACGTCAAAGTAGTTGATTGGCTGAACATGAACCTTACGTAATCACGTTACGTTGTTATCACGTTACGTTGGTATCACGTTACGTTGGTATCACGTTACGTTGGTATCATGTTACGTTGTTATCACATTACGTTGTTATCACGTTACGTTGGTATCACGTTACGTTGGTATCACGTTACGTTGTTATCACGTTACGTTGTTATCACGTTACGTTGTTATCACGTAACGTTGTTATCACATTACGTTGTTATCACGTTACGTTGTTATCACGTTACGTTGGTATCACGTTACATTGGTATCACGTTACGTTGTTATCACGTTACGTTGTTATCACGTTACGTTGTTATCACGTTACGTTGTTATCACGTTACGTTGGTATCACGTTACGTTGTTATCACGTTACGTTGGTATCACGTTACGTTGTTATCACGTTACGTTGTTATCACGTAACGTTGTTATCACATTACGTTGTTATCACGTTACGTTGTTATCACGTTACGTTGGTATCACGTTACATTGGTATCACGTTACGTTGTTATCACGTTACGTTGTTATCACGTTACGTTGTTATCACGTTACGTTGTTATCACGTTACGTTGGTATCACGTTACGTTGTTATCACGTTACGTTGGTATCACGTTACGTTGTTATCACGTTACGTTGTTATCACGTTACGTTGTTATCACGTTACGTTGTTATCACGTTACGTTGTTATCACGTTACGTTGTTATCACGTTACGTTGTTATCACGTTACGTTGTTATCACGTTACGTTGTTATCACGTTATGTTGTTATCACGTTACGTTGGTATCACGTTACATTGGTATCACGTTACGTTGTTATCACGTTACGTTGGTATCACGTTACGTTGTTATCACGTTACGTTGTTATCACGTTACGTTGTTATCACGTTACGTTGTTATCACGTTACGTTGTTATCACGTTACATTGGTATCACGTTACGTTGGTATCACGTTACATTGGTATCACGTTACGTTGTTATCACGTTACGTTGGTATCACGTTACATTGGTATCACGTTATGTTGTTATCACGTTACGTTGGTATCACGTTACGTTGGTATCACGTTACGTTGTTATCACGTTACGTTGTTATCACGTTACGTTGGTATCACGTTACGTTGGTATCACGTTACGTTGGTCCAGGCAAATCTTTCTGTTGGAAAGATGGACAACTTTTACAAAGAAATCCATCATTACCTCTTTGAAAATACACTTTTAGCATAGAGCTGCATGTATATTAGGGCTGAACGATTAACTGCATGTGCAATTAAGTTGCGATGTGACAAAAGGAGATTTTCTAATTTCAAAGGCTGCAATTTGGCAGCGAGTAGTTAGCGCAATGCTAATATACATGGAAAAACCCATAGGAATGCTAATGCTAATATCACCAATTACATTATTACAAATTATGAATTAGAAACGTGCCAAATGATTCCATTTGGAGTCTAATAGAAAGTAAAACCACCATCAATCAAATAAGTACAGACAGGTATTTTAGTAAAGCCAGAAAACTTTTAACTCCAGAGTTTTGGCTAGCAGCTATGAGCGTAACTGAACTACGCATGGACAAGACGTCAAAAACTCAACACAAATACTTCAATAAACAGGACACACTTCTTTCTTGCAAATACAATTTCACAGGTGTTGCTAATACCCATGATCCTTCAAGGGATGTGCTCAAAGAGGAGTTCAACATTATGAATACAATATAGTGTTTTATTTTACAAATACCATTATAAACACAAACTTACGTCTTAAGAAACATTATTTTAATAACGAAACTGCTAAATTCTTTCCAACAGTATAGATGTGTAGTGTATTTTGTCCAAGTGGGTTTGCCGTACTTTGACGTCATCGGCAGTCGAAGGACCCCGAGCCGATCCTGTACCGACACCGGGGCGTAAGGCACAGTGGGTTAGACAACTACTGCAGGTGTAGGAGACTATTTTCATGTTCAGCCTGCATGATGAACTCAAAGTGATCGATGATAATCAGAAATAATCATTAAAATGGTTTTCTTAGTGAAGTTGACCTTTAAACATGTTTGAGTTGTTTGATTGTTTTTCTCTTTCCACTCACTCGCCCACCTGCTGTCGTCGGTGAACTCAGCCAGAATGAAACCATTGGACTGGTTATGTTGTCTACCTCAGTATTGACCTGTTTCTCCTGCGCGCCTCATCAGAGCCAACAGGAAGTGTCAGAGCGCGTGAACAACAGCGACGCTGGTGCTGATTCTTCGTTAACTTTAGCAGACGAGGGCGTTAGCCTCTGTGAGCTAGCTAGCAACCACCCACAGCATGGAGGCGCTCCATCTGACATTAATCCCTCGTGTCTGATGGAGGATTAACTCATGATAATCTGAAGCTGCTTGTTTTGTTGACTTTGATGTGAACGTGTCAGAACAACAGCTGGAGAACAGATGTCACTGACCTTGGGTTGATGAGCAGAACAGCAGAGCGCTCAGGTCTACAGAGGAGATCATTTACTTCATTATTCAGGACTCAACAGCAGTAAAACACTTTTGATCAACTTTTCACACAACAAGTCAGAAGAACTTCAAACAGGAAACAAGAGACGTCTGTGAGCTGGGTCACACCGAATTAACTCACAAATCAGAGACAGTAGAGACGTTTCCTCCATCCCGCCGCTCGGTCGTATCTGATCAGGCTCCTCCTCCTCTTCCTCTGAAGGAGCCCCGTCAGCTCTGTGGTCCCTCAGTCTCATCGTGTTCAGTCCTAACGTGTTAGAGAACAAACACGAGACCAAGAAGGTGGAACACAAACAGATGATTCAGCTTCAGTTAGAGGTCAAAGGTAAAGCTGCGCTTTTATTTTGAAGGATGGTCTGGAATCTCCTTTTATTTTGGCATTAGGGTAAAGGTTATTTTTAACAGAACAGAGCAAAGCTGAGAACCAGATTACAAAAATGATAAAAAGAGCAAACGAGCTGCTGCCTACTTCCTGTGTGACATGGGTAGACAGGAAACGCGACCAATCCTGGAGCTTCTCTCGGTTTCAGCCACACACACGCACACGCACACACACACACACACACACACACACACACACACACACACACACACACACACACACACACACACACACACACACACGCACGCACACACACACACACACACACACACACACGCACACACACACCACACACACATGCACACACACACTAACATTTTGTGTTTCTCTCCTTAATCATTGCCACCCTAACCCCCCACTGCCCCCCCTCTCTCAGATTCTGTAGAGTTGTAGCCATGGCAACGGGAAACTAAGGCACGCGTAGCTATGGAAGCAGGGTCATACCGTGGCCCAGTCTCAACACTCGCCCTGCACCCTGCGGTCTTCAGCAAAGTGCACTTGGAGAAAGTGTGCAGTAGGGTTCGGGTGCGTCGTACACAAGTGTGCAAACAACTGCAGAATTGAGACGGGGAGCATTGCGTCATCGGTCGCAACGCGTGTCGGGATGCTGGCTGCTGTGAAACTTATTTCAAAAACCTTTATTAACAACTTTCAAACCAACAACAAAGCAATTATTTGAAATAAATTAAATTTGTCTAAAACATTCAGAGCATCAACGAATCGTCCTAAAATGAACTCATTTCATTAGAAAATACATATTTTCAGAGAAGGAACTTGAGCCGTTTCTCCTGCAGCAATGACTTGTGGGTAATACCCTTGCCCGAGGTCTGCATCGCTGCGGACTTGGGTGAAGTGCAGATTAAGGGTGTGATGGAGGCGTGGTCGACTTCCGCACTTGAGAATCGGGACACCCTACGCACTCGCCCCCCCGGTCAGGATTTGAAGGGCGCAAGGGTGGAAGTGCGAGTTTTGAGATTGGGCCCAAGTCGTGCTTGAGCCAGGCCCCATGTGGGCTCTAGGCAGGGATGCTTTTTGAGGACCCCCCCATAATAAACCATCATAAAAACAATGGGGGGGGGGGGGGGGGGGGGGGGGGTAAGAGTACAAGGACGACCTGCACTGTGCGCGACCTGCCTGTGGGGAGGGACCGCGCTGGCTTGAGCCCACCTTGTGGATTGAGTGCCACGCCCACTACCCCCCTCCCAGGACCGGATCACGATAAACCACCAAAACCAGGGACCCTTGCAGCCCTCCCACACTCATAGCTCACTTGCATCGTTATTATAAAAACGCTGCAACAGTGAAACCAACCTGCAGCTTCTGCTACACACGTGACCAGACGTCCCGCTTTGTGCGGAACAGTCCCGCATTTCCATCACTTTTCACGTTTCCCGCATTACTGACGGTCTCCCTATTGCAGCGACTTCAGGAAACAACCAGATGAGCCGCCTGACAGGCTGAGGTCGGGCCGCATTCACGCGCTCGTTAAAACATTCGCTGAGATTCCTAAAAGGCGTTTCTCATACGTCCCCCCCCCCCCCCCCCCCCCCCAAATCAACCATTAACTAAATAAATGAGCGTCTAATCGTGCTGTAGACATGTGTAGTCAATCATTTGGGACTTTAGTGCAACTTTAAATTTAAACATTCTGCCTAAAACCGTCAGTGCTAACTAAGCCCTCTTCAGGTAAAAACGGCACTAGATGAATTTAATTTAAATCTGCCATCGCTATTGGCTGAGAGGTACCCTATGACGTTAGCTGGTACCATATGATGTCACAATGCCACTGTAAACCTGTATGCGTATATTTGTTAGTGGCTCCGCCCTCTCAGTTTGCCCTACAATGCCTCCTTGTGGCGTATTTTTCAAATAGAGAATGGGAGTGGAGTTGAGCTCTGGTAGGGGGAGACTTGCTCTGTGCTGAAAACATAATCAAACCAAAAATTAACCCAGCGAACAAAAGGTGGTGGTCAACAGGAAATACACACACACACACCCCCCACTCTCTTTATCTCACGTCACCTGAGCAGGTGCAGCGGATGGACTTGATCACATGACCGTCAACAATCTAAGTATTTACAGAACATACACCAAAACAAATCAGTATATTTATACACTTATTACTAAAACACCTTTATGTCTCCCACACTCCCGTTTCCACTGTCAGTCCTGCATAAACTGTGGAGGAAGCAGCCTGCTGCTGTCAAACGGAGGCAGGGCTTAGGTCCAGAGCACGTGGAGCACCTGAACCACCAAAACAGAAGCAAGCGTGAGCACGGAGGAGAAAATGCTGTAAACTCTGAGTTAAAGTTA